ATGGAGGACGGACTCGACCATAGGGCAAAATGGCACGCTTGAGTGACTTTTGCATTCCCAGAGTCTCTCACCCATCATTTTTCTCTCTTTATTCACAGGGAATTCACCGAGATCATCGCACTGGAATAAAAGTTGCCCACAGATCCTCCAGCTCGCCAGTTTCTGGACGATGCGGAGAGATCTTTGGCGTGAATTTCTTTGGAACATCCCCTCCCCATCTCCCTTGCGACATCGCCCCGTCGTCACCGTCCCGTCGTTTTGCGATGAAATCTCTCTCTCAAGATCAACTTCCTTACTCTCACTCTCGGGAATTTAATTTATTTAATAAGAGTGGAAATTCTGTCTGAGTTGAAATGATATCGAGAAATTGAATAAATCACGGATTAATTTTAAATAATTCAAACGTCTCCCCTTTTATTAATTTCCCAATCCTTCACTTTGATTCAGCTGAATATTTTGTTGGATGTGCGACACCTTTCCTAAGACCGAGCAACGGACCCTACCCCGCTTGCCTAATTTCTCCGAACTAGTCGATTTAATTTTTTCTCTCTAAATTCTAATTCTCTTAGAATTCTTTAATGCCTAAAGGAGGTTAGGCGGTGTATGAGGTGAATTTGAGAGTGAATTTCTGTGGTTCCCGGTAGCTTAGTCGGTAAGAGTGCCCGGCGCGTATCTGGGAGACCCGGGTTCGATTCCCGGCTGGGTGAAGCGGAAATTTTTTCTCTCTAAATTCTAATTCTCTTAGAATTTAGATGCAGCGCAACCTCTCCCTTCGATTTTCCCTAGTTGGAGTATGGTGGAGGATCGTTTTCTTTTCGTTTGGTTCCCTTTGGATGCGGTTCGTTGATACTGCCGTAATAAACGAAACTGGCGCCCAACTACATTTTCTCGTTTTTCCGTTCCTCTCGGTATTCGGTTTTCGAGGATTTCTAGTGGGACATCGAGGGGCAGAGGCCGAAGGTGACACCATTCCGGCGGTTTCGAGTTTCGTCAAGAGTAGGTATGAGTTTGAGGTTTGTATTGAGTTCTTGGGGTTCACGTTGAATAACGCCGTCACAACTGGCGCCCAACGTGGGACTCTTCCTCAAAAGAGTCGCCAAATCATCAAAATCATCGAGAATTGAGAGGAAGAGGAAAACAAAGTCTCTTGCTGAAAAGCATGTAATTTTAGTCTGGGCGAGAATAATGAAATTCTCTCGACTTCATCTCTTCGCCGATTGGATTTTATTTCATCGATTTTATTCCCCACAGAGTTGGAACAAAGGAGATTGAGCCGTTTACCGAGTGCGAAGGCGATCACCCGGTGCACAGGTAAAAAACTTCAGCCTTGACGAAATTCCAACGCGGTGACATCACTCTAGTAGCCGAAAATACGTGCTCGAGTGTGAAAAATAACGAGATGGCGGGAGAGATGGGTCGACCAAGGAAGTGACGTAATCCTTGCTCCCCTCCCCCGGCCCATAAATCAGCCTCATAACCACCCCCAATTTCGTCACAATTCCCCCACACCAGCGCTCCCGAGGTATCCTCGCCGAGAGCACTGGAATGATGGGTTCGACCACCGAATGGAAGAACTAGACGACGACCTCCTCGACGAAGGAGTTCTCAATGGGAATCGCAAACCACTTTCAGCCGTAGCCACCTTCAATGCTATGCGCAAGTGGGACCTGAGGTTCAAGGGGTAAAGGGTGAACACGTTGAGGATTTCATCAATCAAATTGAGGAAGGACTCAACATGGTCCCCATCGTGGAGCAGAACTTGATAACGGTCTGGCGTTTCGCTTCGAGGGACCAGCGCTCATCTGGTACCGTAGGAAGTTCCGGTATTTCAGGACCCGGCCGATGGTACGCCAGGTCCTACGCATTTGCTTTGCAAGCCCCAGCTACCCGATCATCTTGAGGCGAGAGATCTGCGAGAGCATCGGAGAGTACTTTGGCTGCATGAACGGCCTTTTCTCTTGGACGGAGCCCATTTGGTCCGAATGGGAACAGATCCAGAATGCCCACGAGAACATGCTGCCTCAGTACAGCAGCGTGATCCCCCTATGTGAGGGAATGACGATGGCACAACGCGAGGTGGCTGCCTTACGTCACGAGAGGCTACTAGAGGGAGCCAGCCACAGAAGATCTCCACCGACACCTGAAGAGTCGATGTGCCCGAGCTACGCCTACAACAGCAAGTCAACGGGACGCGACAGAAGGACATTCTCGAGTAGGAGAGTCGGTTTCAAGTCTCTCAATCTCTACGATGACGGGGACGAGACCGCAGAGGGCCCCATGGACGATATTCGATTAGAGGACAGCATTTCTGACACGGAGGAATTCCTAGCAACAGCGGGAACGTTTCGCCCGAAATCAAATACTCGGGGCGGAGGTTCAGGTGCTCCCCCTCAAGGGTCCCGTTCATGTGATCGCCAACGAGGTTCAGCTCCACGAGTTGTGAGGGAAAGGGTGGAACCAGCTCCTGCTAGAGTAGTACGAGCGAAATCCTTCCCAGAGCTACCCACGGAGGCCATCGAACAACTCGAGGAGGAGGGAGATGTCGAGGACCCCCTGTATGGATTACAGGTCGGTGAACTCTTCTGCTGGAACTGCAAGAAGAATAGACACCGTCATCGAGTCTGTCCCGAACCTAGGAGAATCTTTTGCTACAAATGTGGGTTCTCTGGTTCCATCTCCAAGATATGTCCACATTGCACCGCGGAAAACCCCCAGTGAAACCTGCCCCACCGCTCAGAGTTTCCCCTGGACGACGAAAACCGATGTCAAGACCATCAACGACTGTGCACGCTCATTGTGCTCTATGCGAAATAGAGAGTCGGAGGCCTATGAGTGAAAGTTTCCTAGAGAGCTCTGTTCCTGCACCCTTTGTGCCCTCCTCAACCGAGGACGAGCTATCGGAGATGCAGGAAATATTGCAGCTTGGAACTAACCCCGAAGATTTATTGGCCCCAGAGGTTGTCTCTCCCGAGGAAGAGCCTGATATCCTTCTGGGAGCCACGAAAGACATGGATGCTGTCTCTTTCTACGTGGACATAGAGGTCTGTGGAAAGAGAGTACGGGCTCTGATCGTTTCAGGAGTAACCTCAACGTTTGTGGGAGCTAGGGTCATCGAGATACTTCACGAGGCGAAAGTACCCCTCGTAGAGGTACCCCCTCGGATAATCTTTGGTGCTAAGCAGACCAAATACGTCGAAAAAGGAGTGTTCAGCATACTTGCTCCCATCACTCACGGAGAACTTAGTACATGGAATGAACTTCCTAGGTCGTGCACACATCGTAGTGGACTTTTTCGGAGTGCTGGTGGTACCGAGAACACCACGAGGAAACCTACACCTTCTCACCCATCATCAACAACAGCCGAATCATCATGTGCAGTGGATTGAGAGAGCTGGAGGATAATGAGACTCAACGTCTTCAGGCTCTCCTAGATAGGACGATTCCTCTACCACCCAGTGGCACTTTTGGAGTCACTCCCCTTATTTCACATCACATTGACATCGAAGAGAGTGCACCCATAAGACAAGAGCCTTATCATGTGACACCAAAACTCCGTGACGCAATGTGAAAGGAGGTGGACACCATGTTGGAAGCAGGGATTGTGGAGCCATCCAAAAGCGACTGGTCCAGCCCCGTTGTAATGGTGAAGAAGCCAAATGGGAAGTATGGTTTCTGCATCGACTTCAGGAAGGTGAATGCAGTCACAAAGCGAGATGCTTATCCCATCCCCAACATGACTGTTATCCTAGATGAGCTATGACAAGCTCATTACATTACCACCCTCGATCTGAGCGAAGCCTATTTTCAAATTGAGCTCGACGAGGCATTTAGGGAAATCACTGCCTTCGTAGTACCAGGTGGTGGACTGTTTCAGTTTGAGCGCATGCCATACGGCCTTACAAATGCGCCTGCAACCTTCCAGCGACTCCCGGACAAGATTGTCGGTATTTCTCTACACCCCAGCGTGTACGTATACCTGGATGACATCATGATCATTTCCAGGACCTTTGACGAGCATTTAAAAATGCTCGAGGAGGTCCTGAGTAGACTGAAGGGCGCCGAGCTTCTGATCAACTGTGAGAAAAGCGAGTTCTGCTGCTCCCAAGTGAAGTATCTCGGATTTTTGGTGAACAGTGCGGGATTGCAGATCGATCCCGAAAAGGTCGAAGCGGTCTTGCAATCCCTGCACCTCAAAATCTCAAATAACTGTGCCGTTTCCTAGGAATGGCCTCGTGGTACCGTCGTTTCATCCCAGGTTTTGCAAGTATCGCCGATCTGACGAGATTGACGAAGAAAAGCCAAGCTTGGGAGTGGATGGAAGAGCAGGCTAGAGCTCTGGATACCTTGAGGAGACATCTCACCTCATCACCGACTCTCGCCTGCCCAGACTTCTCTCAACCATTCGCCCTCCAGACAGACGCAAGCAGCGTAGGGGTAGGGGCAGTGCTCACCCGAGGCTGAGAAGAATTACACGGTAACAGAACAGGAGTGCCTGGCCCTCATCTGGGCCATTGGGAAATTCTGCTGTTACTTGGAGGGCTACTCATTCACGGTGATCATAGACCATAGTAGTCTTCGATAGCTACACAACTTGAGGCATCCAACTAATCGTCTCACCAGATGGACCTTGGGCCTGTTGGAGTACGACTACCAGTTAATCCATAGGAAAGGAGCATTGCATCACGTCCCAGATGGTCTATCAAGAGCACCAGAGGGCTTAATCGCCCCTGACGAGCAAACGATACAACAGATGCAAGAAACAACGGATAAATGGTATACTCGTCGATTTCGAGATGTACAGCCTGAGTCCGATAGGTTCCCCGATTGGAAAATCGAGGGAGAGCTGCTGTATACCCACCGACGTGGACGCCTGGAAGCTAGTGGTCCCTAAGGAGCTCTGAATCCCAGCGGTCCGTGAAGCCCATGATGCACCCCAGGCTGGCCATCTTGGGGTTGACTAGACGTATTGTCGTGTCTCCCTCAAGTATTATTGGCCCATCATGCTCAAGAACATCGTGACCTTTATCTTTCACTGCGATACTTTTCAACGCTGCAAGGTGGAGCAGAGAGCTCCTGCAGGTTTGAGGAGACGTCGGGTCATCGCTGAACCCTGGACGACCATCGCCGCAGACATCATGGGTCCGATTACCCCAAGTAAATCTGGGTCGAAGTACATTCTCGTGGTCCAGGACCTATTCACCATGTGGATAGAGGTTTTTCCCCTGCGAAGTGCAACGGGGAAAAGGATCAGAGAAGTCATCGAGATGATGGTGGGGAACCAGGTGGGGAACACCTCGCTTGTTTTACGCCGACAATAGCCTAGAGTTCCTGAACAAGGAGATAAAGGCACTAGCGCAAGAAACAGGAATGACTCTGCAGAATACTCCACCATATCATCCGCCGGGTAACCCAGTGGAAATGGTCAACAGAGTGCTGAAGATGACGCTGAGAGCCTTCGCGGATGATGATCAGAGCGAGTGGGACCGTCATCTCCACGAGTTTCGCTTCGCCTACAACACCGCCGTTCACAGCTCCCGAAAAGCCTCTCCAGCCTTTGCAAACTTTGGGAGAGAACCTGAAATTTCTGCATCGCTGAGACGAGAGCTAAAGAGGGAAGTAGCGTCCATCCCATGTGACCCCCAGGAATGGGTAGAGCGCATGAAGAGATTGGAGACGCTACGAAATGTCTTCAAACATGCACTGAGGGTAGCCCAAGACAAGCAGGCCCACTACTGTAACCTACGACACCGAAGTAGAGACTTCGAAATTGGGGAGTTAGTGTTCCGAAGGACGCACACTCTGTCCAACGCAGCCAAGAGGTTTTCAGCAGCTCTCGCAAGGCCATTCGATGGTCCCTATGTGATCGATAAGAAATTATCGAGCACGCAATATGAACTAGTAGACCTGGCTGGTCGGAAAAGGGCAGTCTCGTCGATCCAAGACTTGACACCCTATACTCCTCCTCTGAAGAAAGTATACGGTTATAGTTCCTCTCATCTCCGAATATCCCCTCATCTCCGACCCTAATCTTTGAATCAAAATTTGTTTTTATAATTTTTCCAATTATTTTGGAATTGATTATAGGGGGATAGGAAGAAGAAGAGCGGAACCGGCAAGGAGAAAAAGAAGAAGGGAGGAGATGAAGACAAGAAGAAGGACACCGGGGAAGCAGAAGTGACGACCCAGTTAGCCTTGCTGGGAGAACCCAAACTAATCTTTGAGCAGCCACCGATTCAAACCTCCAGGAAGACCCTGAGCCCCCAGTAGCCATGATCGCTCAAGAAGATGCGACAGATAAGTCAGCACTCTTGAACACTGAGGAAACTCAGAAGATCACCCCCAAGATTATTCCAGATCCTCTCGAGATCATGGAGATCGACACACCATCACCTGATAACCTGGACTCCCAGGAGAAGTCTTCAAGCGAGCAAGGCAAACCCAGCTCCCTGATGACACCTACAGCCATGCCAGTAGCATCAGAGCCCCCTCAGAGAGTTGGAAGTAAGCCTCAGGACCAGACCCATTCTCTGGAGAGGGAAATGGGGAACATGCCAGCAGAGGAACTGCAGTCTAGGCCCATGGAGATTCAGGAAGGGGTCAAAGGGACAAACCTAGCCCCCTGGTAGCCCCAATCGTAGCTCCTGCCGAGCAGGAGTTGACACCTGATGGACAGACATCATCCAGCTCTCAGTACTCCTCCGCGGAGACAGTCCAGGATTCAAATCCCCGCGATCGACAACCTCTAGTTCAGGCTGAAAGTCCCCCACGTCCGAGAAAACCCCCTACCAAGGCGCCTAGGAAGTCTCCAACGAAGCAGCCGCCAGGAGCTGGACCCCTCGGCTTGGTGTAAGCTCGAGCCCTACAAAGACCAACTCTGGAAGCTTCATAGGAGGTCTCCAGGACTTATACAAGCCCTGAAAGGCACCGTACGCCTAGCGACAGACCGAACCAGAGTGCCCCAATTCCCAGAGCTCAGCACCAGTAGCAGCTCGAGCAGTAGCAGCTCCAGCAGCAGTAGCGAAGGCAGCTCTCCCGCAGCACTCCTGACCATCTCGCTCATCCAAGCGTGATCAGGTGAGCTTAAAGAGCTCCCGGGTGGAGAAGATGGAGTCTGAGCGTTAAGCTAGTACCCAGTAAGTTGAAATCCAGCAGAGCACTAAAGAGGAGGAGACCCCGGTGACGGAGGTCGCTGCATCCAAACCACCCCAACGCCTCCGAGACGTTCAGCGACCAAAGCAGCAAGAGGGACGGCCGGAAGTCCCTGTCTCTATCTCCCTTAACCGCCTGCATAGCATGGAGTTGAGTGACTTCAAGCCCCCGAGTTTCTCAACTCCTGAAGTGGAGTCGAAATCAGATCTCCTCCTGATGGACGTGACTGAGGACGATCGACATCTGGCGGTGCTTATCGGAGCGTTGAACAGTGGAAAGACCCGCACAAAAATAGATGGCGCCCACAGATCATCCAAATTCGGGACCTCCAGCCTTTACGCGGGCCATCAGGAAGACTCAGACCTTGGTGGACTCCTTGGCCACCACGAGGGTACCAGAGGAACGACCCCGACGAGACCCTCAACCGAGAGTCGCGTCCCCAGGACAGCCGCGCCCCTCTGGCCCTCACATAACCCTCCGATCCCCGACTCCTGTGTCGAGCAAGTGGAAGAGGTGGAGAGGAGGAGAGAGGTATGGGCTGCCTACTAAAGAGAGAGTCAGACCACCTGGCCAGATCGTCCTCACCCCCTAGACCCACTCTTGTCCTCGCCTCTGGAGGACTCGGACACTGAGGGGACGCCCAGTACAGAAGCCTCCGGGAAGAGAAAGAGACCAACCCGGAAGGGGGGAAGACAGAAACGAATTGAGGCAGCCATTGCACGCCAAGCAGCAGCAACAGCAGCAGCAGCGGCAGCTGCAACAACTGGGCAGAGTGCTCCTACTCAATAGGCAGCACCTCCACAAGCAGCACCCCCTCAGGCAGCACCACTACCGACGAAGACCACGGCAGTACCTCCTGCACCCATGACTGACCCTCAGTGGGACATGCACTGTGCAGCCCTGAGAAAAGGTAGAGGCAGGGGAAGGTTGCCATATCGACACATGGCATACACCAATCGTAAGTCCCTCACCTCTTGGAGCCGAGTGGAGAGCAGTCACAACTCCCCAGTCCAAGGACACTCAGCGTACCTCACAGAGGGTTGATCAGGATAAATCTCGCCAGGAATCATCTCGGGCTCGTCGATCCCCACGTCGACGATCCCCCGAGAGACCAACACCGAGGAATCGACCAACATCCCCACGAGCTCGACGAGATCCTTTGCCAGGGTGAGGACATTCTCCGTCGAGAAGACCATCCCCAAAACCAAGACGCTCCTCTGATCACTCTCGCGAGTCAGAGAAGAAGCCCACACCAAACCCCTACGCAGAGGCAATATTGAGCCTCGTGAACGCCCTCGCTCAGCAGCTGAAGTCGAGCTACGTGAGAGAGGAACATCCCTCCAGCCCATCAAGAAGGAGACGATCACCCCCCAGAGGTGCCCATCACGAGGAACCTCGAAGACGACGTTCGGATGAGGATGGTTACTCCCCCGATCGACGGGAGAGCGGCGACGACCGTCATGGGGACAGCCGAGGTCACGAGCACCGTCGCCAAGAGGATGACCGTCGTCAGCGCCCCGACTCACCACGGCGCTCTTCTCCACGACGGAGATACGAGTCCTCCTGGAGATACTAGGTCCACCACGGGAAGTGGCTGGATAGGGGAGCAGACCTGCCCTTCCGTAAGTTCAACGACCTCAAAGGGAGCCCCTCAGCTGAGCAGCGGCCCTAAGACAATCAGCAAGACCCTAACTCACCAGCATCCTGCCCGAGCTCAAAAAGGGCTTTTCCCCCGATAAGAAACCGATAAGGAGATCAAACCCCCCCAGCCGTCAAAGTGCCATGAGCTCTGGAAACGGAACAGGCCCCATCGTACGAGCCAGGAAGGGTTCTAAACCACGAATTGATCGGGCAGGGCTTGCACTAGCTGTGATAGAGCCCCAGTCCTAGGAGAAGCCACGACTGATGCCTCAGGCTTCCTGATGGACGACCGCTCTCTACCTGACGTAGTTGTACTTACCATAGAGCATTTATTAAGAACTAGGATCGGATAACACTGTACCCCCCTGAAAGGGGAGAGTAAAAAAGAGCTCCGTATTTAAAAAAAAAAATATATATATATATATATGTATATATATATATATATATATATATATATTGTAACGTGATATTTCCGTTACAAATGAATTTTGTTATTCGACCGTTCCGCGAGTGGGTTAACTAATTAAAATCACCAGACGGGAAGTCACTAACCGACAGCGAGAGCACGAGAGAGAAGTATACGATTTATTAATTATTTTTCGTATTGTATAATTGTCTTTGCTGGGTTGAATTTGCCGCCAACATCGTGGGACTGACGTCTGCATCTTCGAGAGGCTTCGGGAGACTTCGGGGGACTTCGAAGGACATCGAGACTTTTCGGGCTCGTGACGTAGATTTGGTCTGTACATTGGATCTCCAGGTGTCGCCAGTTATCGGACTACACTGGGGAATTTGTGAACACGTGAGGCCGGTGGATTCGCAATCAGAGGGGGAAGCTGAAAACTACCAAAAATTGAAAGGAAGTGATTTTAAGGGTGTGAAGGCACTGAAAATTCGGAACAATTATGTTTCGAATTATTATATTATTACGGGATTTTTGAGGACTTCGGTTGAAGTTATTTCTGGAAAATAACGCAGTCAATGGGTACTGCGCATGCGCTGATGTTTCAGGATTGGACATGGAATCTAGAGAATTCTAATAAACTTGATGGTAATTGGTGGAGTGCATGAAACGGCCGGCCAATGGGCGCCGTTGCCGCGGTTCGAGAGTCCGGCGTGGGCTTGATGGACAAACGAACCTCACTTCCCGTTTGGTGGTTTTGGCGTGAGGCTGTTGCCACAAGTTTGGAATTGTTTGGCGGACATTTTGGAGGGTTGGAGAGCCCAGACGCAGTCGTTTCTTTGGTGGAAAATATCCTGAACGGCGGTTACGAGTTCATGGAGTCTGGAGGGATAATTCTCAACGATCCGGGGATATAAATCTAGGTGACGCCGAGGAGGAGTTTTGGTGAGCGCGGTGGCTTCAACCCTCAGTTTTTTTTGTAATCTTGTTGAGAGTTATCAGGACTCTCGATTTTGATAAAGTTTATGGTGTCCTTGAGGACTTTATTTTTTTTAAGAGTAATTAATTATTGCAGAGTCCTGGTCACTCCGATCAGTAATAAGATTTCGAAATCTCTCTCGTTACGTTCGTTATTATGTCGCACGCCTTCGACGGCTTTTATGCGAAAATCTTTGTGTTGGATCATTTTGAGTAATCAGTCTCGCGATTGATTAAATTTCGTTAGAGTTTTAGACTCTTGGATATTTGAATCGTTTTGTGTGAAATTGAAGAATTATTTAGTGTTGGGTCTAATCATTTGCGTGTTAGACGAACGCTCTCGCTGTCGGTTATCGGTTTGAAGGACATTGAAACTTATTATTTAGGGTCTCGTGACCTTGCTTCGTTTCGCTGGCCTCTGTTTCAGAATTTCGGTGTTTACGTGTTATTGAGTCGCTAGCTTTACTTGTCACGACGACGTATATTTCATTTTTCAATTGTCTCTTGTGATGTTCGATTCACATGATATTTTCGATAGTGAAATTCTTGATTGTATTTGTTTCGACTTCATATTATGATTGACTTCGGAACAGTTAAATCATACAATTCAACTGTTCAGATTTATAGATTTTGACTTTGTTGACTAGGATTTCATTTAATGACTTATTTATCTATTTATTAAATTTTCAATATTGATGATGGTGGATCTGGTAAATCGTAGAGTCTGTTTGATGTTGTAAATTTTAATGGACAGTTGGGAAATAACGGGGTTAAAGAAAATAATATTGAATTGTAACAGAATTTTTAAATAACTATTAAATTGTAATTTTTCCCCGCCGAATTGGTTTAAAAATTTATTTCTTGTGTCAGCCTAGTCACATTGTTCTATTTACTAGTCCAAGCTCACATAAGGACCGATACGACATTCTCCGCTTGAGCTAGGGGTCAACCGTTAGAGCTTCGAGACTAGTGTTACTAGACATCGGATTTTTGGGATTTGTTTCGTTCCAGTGGTCGTTCTGGTAATAACGACGTGGCGCTCAACTTTTTGCCGTTTTAGTTTCTACGTGAGTGCCAGAGGGCTGCGTATTGGACC